AATATTAAAAATTCTCTCTCTCTCTCTCATTCTCTCTCTCTCTCTCTCTCTCTCTCTCTCTCTCTCTCTCTCTCTCTCTCTCTCTCTCTCCTCTCACTCTCTCTTTAAAAAAAAAAAAAAGGGATTTGGGTTGTGGCACAGTTGTAGAGCACTTACCTAGCATGAGCAAGGCCCAGTACCATTAAAAAAAAAAAAAAAAATCTATCACTAAGATTTCCCCTAATTTAAATCTTGTCTCCTGTCAGAGCAAAGGTTTAGATATCACTAATTAGGAGGTAAACTTGTAACTCTCCATATATATTTTTTGCTGTTATTATGTTATTTTGTTTTAAATATGACCTTAGATTTTTGGAAGGAAAAAGGAAGAAACAAGTTGAAATTATGACAGTGGGAGGCTGGGGTAACTAATTGATACAGGAATGTCTAGGTTTCAGTGAGATCTGGAGTCTGATATAATGGACATGATAAAGAAAGGAGGTTTTTGTTGTTTTTTCTCTTTGAGATGAGGGTCAGGTATTATGACGTTTTGGGGGGACAAAATATTAGCTTTACCATCTGCCTATCCCCCGGTGTGGTGGAACATGCCTATAATCCCAGCAGCTCAGTAGGCTGGCACAAGGGGATCATGAGTTCAAAACTAGCCTTAGCAACATCAAGGCACTAAGCAACTCAGTGAGACCCTGTCTCTAAGTAAAATACAAAATAGGGCTGGGATGTGGCTCAATGGTAGAGTGCCCCTGAATTCAATCCCAATACCACCCACTCCAAAAATAAAATCTTAGCTTCACATCCCTGCTTCGCTTGTGTTGTCTTGAACAAGTTAACTCCCTTACAGATTGCTTACCTTATACTGCTACTGATAATAGTTCCTGGTTATTTTTTGTGAAATATGAGTAAAGTTGTCTTCTAAGGTATAGACTAAAAAAAGAAAAATGTTTTTTAAGGATTAATAATAAAGTCTTAAAATAATGTTATGGATTTTGATCTACTCAGGAAATAATAATCATTGAGAAACAGCACCAAGCTCCAGAATTCCTCTTTAGTGTTGGTAAACACTGTTGTATAAATCATTCATTGTTTGTACTCATTTATGTGTATGTAAGGAGAAAAGACCAAGTTATCACTTATTTCTTAACAAACTGTAGTAGCTTATATGCTTCCTTAGTTCTCAGAATTCTATATTCTCAGTTCTGTGTACTAAGGTTTGAAGAGTGGAATATAGTAAGCTATGTATACAGTTGAGTTAGGCTTCACAGAAGAAAAATTAATTTTATTACTATCCTTTCCGCTTGACAAAGTTCATTTAATTTTTTTTGTTTTGTTTTTGGTACTGGGGATTGAACCCAGGGGCACTTGACCATTGAGCCATATCCTCAGCCCCTCCCCCTCCCCCAAAGTTAGGGTCTTGCTGAGCTGCTTAGGACCTTGCTAAGTTGCTGAGGCTGGCTTTGAATTTATGGTTCTCCTGCATTAGCCTCTCGAGCCACAGGGATTACAGGTGTGCACCACTGCACCCAGCCTCATGTAATTTTTCTATGTGCTAATTTATAAACTAGGACCAAGAAATATACTGTGAACATTAGCTTATTTAAAAAGTTGTGGTTTGCATGGAGCTTACATTCACATGTGTAAAGAAAAGGTGATAATTGTTAAAATTATAATAAGGTTTATATTTG